CAAAAGAAGATGGCAGTAATCTCGAATGAAGTATCCGACGAGAAACGTATTCTACGCTATGTTCAAAGTACGCAGCCACGCCCTCTCCGTTTCCGTGATACATTGGTATCATTCTAATTTAATTCATTCATTCTAATTCCAGTTACACACATTTCACTTCCCCAATGCGTCGTTATGCCGACATAATCGTACATCGTCAGCTGGCTGCCGCTCTGGGATATTGTCCGCCGACCGAAAAGACTACCGCTGATTTGGAGAGGCTGGTAAGTGTCCGGATAAGCTCCTCATTCTTCTGGTGTTCATATATAAAGTAATTACTTAGGCCCAACATTGCAACGATAAGAAACTGGCGGCAAAGGCAGTTAGCGATTCGAGTGATGACACGTTCTTCGGTCTGGTTGTCAAGGTACGTTGAAGTTCACGTTCGATTTTTATTCAGAATTCCCTCCCGTCCTCTACCGCTGGTCATAGGACTTTTCGATCGCTTTGCTAGGTTCATGTGCGCGATTTTGCTTTTTTTTTGAGAATTTCCGACGATTTCTCCGAAAGCTCTGTTTTTAGCAGAATGGACCAATTGAAGCTCGTGGTGTGGTGATAAGTGTGATGGATGCTTCGTTTGACGTATTGGTCCTGAAATATGGTGTAGTGAAAAGAGTCTACGTGAATGTGAGTTTTCGCTGGTTTTTTGAGCCTTTTTCTCTCTTTTTTTGGGGATGGGGGAGGATTCCAATTATTTGCATTGGTTTGGTTATTCACTTGGCGCTACTATAGTTGGTCATGTAATCTCTCCCTTCCCGAGGTTCGTCTTGTAAGAGCGCAGATGGGTAGAGTCTGCGCACGGCCTCGTCTCTTGGGCGGAGAAGGATCTCGTCGGGTACGGGTAAGGGTACGTCCTGCCGTTGGAAGAATTTTTCGCATAACATGACCCCTCCCACTTCAAAATTTTCTCCTATGGTACGAGTCTCTCCCCGCTCTCTGAGAGATGGATAAGACAATCGTAATTGGTCGCGTCGTCGTCGTCTGCGTAGCATGCGGCGACGTGCGGCAAAGTCTCGATGTGAATCAGTTTATCCACTGGAGCAGCGAAACTCATGTGAATTCAAGCCGAGACAAGACTACATGACAGGCGACAACTTAGTTTCGTCCCTTCAGCAATTAACTTCAAATTGCCAGGCAGGACAACTCGTCCGTCGAGGGCGGCGTCGCTCGCCACGCCCACCAGCGCGGTATATTTCGATTATCTCGTCGGTTACCCCTCCTCATCCCACCTATCATCTCCCTAAGTTTGTGGAGTTAAGGGGGGGGGGGAAGATATACAGAGCACTCGAAACAGGAAAAAACCGAGAAAATTGATCAAGCGGAAACATCTCTCTCTCTCTCTCTCTCTCTCTCTCTCTCTCTCTCTCTCTCTATCTCTCTTCATCTCTAAGGTAAATACGAACCGCCTCCCATCTTCCTCCAGCAACGCAAGGGAGAGCGATCCTGTTTGCTATGCGGAATCCCCCCTTTTCGCATGGGGCTTCCATGTCCCCTCCCCTTCTCAAATGCATTAGAGCGATTTATTCATTAGCCAAGTACTCGTGGTACATGCTCTTTCCTTGGGCGGTCACCCAAACTGCCCAGACTTAGGGGAGCCCTTGAGTTCATGAAGCGCTCCGGCGGTTTTCGAAGCTGACGCGTGTACACCAAAAGCATCAACAGAACTTTCTCAGAATGTGTTTGATAAGACTTACACAGAGGCTACCTTTCTTGCTGGGGCAGCGAAGATGTGGTTTATATCTGATTTTGCGCGTGTTATACCTCATATCCTCGGATCGGAGAGGGCGTGGATGTATACTTTATTTGAACGTGCCGGCGGCTGCCCCTTTGGTAGAATTTTGCCGTTCGGAAACAACTAAGACCTTATATTTGGTAAGACAACAAAACAGTATGGCAGTTGCCTCGAATGGAACTATCACATGAAAAATGCATAACATTGCAATGAAGTATGCGGCCACGCCTGCCCATCTCGGGGATATGGGTACCTTATTGGCAGTGCTTTCCCATGTAATATCCTCGATATGGTAATTTTCAGCGACTTGATATGGCAAGAGATCCGATATTCATTGATGGACCACCTGCTCAGTTGACTTTATTCTGGAATCCGCCACTTTCTGGAGGACAGGAGCGAAACAATGCCGTGATCGAGCAGACGATTCAGATGTGCACAGTGGTGGACGTGGTGCTAACCGCCTTACCCGAGCCTACAAAATACCAGGCACTGATTAGGATGCGCCCACAGTCGGAAACCCACACATTGCTCGAGCTCATGGAAGGCAAGGCATGAATGTTATTGAGCTGCTGATTGCTTCATTGATTGATTGATAGAAAAAATACAGAGAAGATGAAATAGTCGTATCTTTTAGTCAATAGATCTACGTGATTTCTATCGGTAAATGTTTTTTGTTTGGAATCAGTCGTTCCCACCATCTTCTAAGATGGCCCCCTTTCTTCTCCCACGTGATAGGACATGATTGTTGTCGAAATTCTAATCGAAGTTTTTGGGTTACTCGTTTTAATTGCTAGAGATTCCATGTTATCATGTAAATACGTAGTCATCATGTATTGCTCTTTAATCTTCCTCTGTTCTGTGATGTTTAGTTGTTTTCAATAGGAGTTTTTGTTGTGATTTACAGAGTCATTTAATATTTATTGAGAGTTTTATGGTTAATAAACGATGTTGAGGGAAAATTTCGTGATTGAGCTTGCGTTTGCCGCACATGGAAACTACTTTTCGTTCGTGGATGGAAGTAGACTGGGCCTTTCGAAGAATGTGAGTCAGAGAAAACTGTCTATAATTTCATGGATCAGAGAGAACCAAAATGTTGAGGAAGTCTAATTGGTGCCTTGTGGCTTTCGGAGGTTGTCGGACCAGGAGACCCGACTTACTACGGCGTAGCAAAAGCGGCGTCGCGTGCGCGGCATTTGCACCAGGTCCTAATTGATCCGGCTCCCGAGTGCTAGAAAAGGGTGTATAAGTACCAACCTACTTTCTACTCGTCGAGGCAACTTTTATTAGGGTGTCCACAAAGTTCGTTGGCCATTTGTAAACAGCGTCGCGTTACG